ATGATTGGTTGTATTTGCGTCTACGATTATAAAAGATAGACGGACAGTTAAACGAGAATCGCCAAACGCAATCGCCAGCAGATCTTCTCTGATTGGTCGAGAAACAATCGTAAACATAAACGCAGACGCAATCGCCAATCGCTAGTGTGATTCGAACATTGCATTCGGTTAAGCATGCGCGATAAAACAATGCAATACTGACTTGTCTGCGAAAATCGAGTGCCAATGGGTCGACATTATGCAATTTTACGATATGACACAATCCACTCTGAAGTCGAGCAAACGTACGAAGGAGATTTCCAATATTTCGACAGATATCGCGCGGACAGAAATATACATACGTATCGAGAAATGCATTAACGTGCGAGTAACGAATGGAAGCGGATTGAATGAATGCGGATTGTTAGAGGCCGCTAAACTAACAGATCTTTCAGCGCGAGAAGACGCATAATTCCGCTATTCTTCCAAAACGTTAACCTACATAGAAACAGAATGAATAAAAGATGAAAGATGTCGGAAAGCTTGATAGAATTTCGAGAAATTGCGCGGAGCTCTTCGGGGTCGCGTAGAAACATTAAAACTGTCTGTTAGCTGTTATCCTCTATGACGATCGAGCCGAACGGAGTTCAGGGGTGAGAGAGATTCGAGAAAAATTATGGTCCGACAGATAAGAGGAATAATTTCCTGAACAAGAAAACGGAGTTTCAGAACTCCCGAGATTATGCTAATGTCTGCGGAGGTTTCCAAGAGAATTACAAGGAACATAATATTTAAAATACATTTATTAACATGTTGATCAGGAGAGAATTTTGTAGTAAAAATTACTATGGGACTTTGTGACACCAAAGTATAGATCGACATTTCGCAGTAATTCATTAGTCTTTCATTTCATGTATGCTATTAATATTTTAAAAATCGAAGTGTGCTCTTAAACAATTTGCTGTTTCTAACGAAAATTACTATGTTCTTTAATAGATAGAAGTTTGTAATTGAGAAATAGATCAAAATTCTGCAATAATTAGTTATTAGTCTCTCCTTTCATGTATTATTTATATTTTTAGAGACAAACACGGTGCACGAAGAGAACATTATAATTTTTCATATGTAAATTTTTCTCATATTTTCGACGTTTTTTTAGTAATCCAGGAATAAATTGTTAGTAAGATATGTCTTGCTAAGGAACATGGTAAATCTCGCTAGAAACATACACCAAAAATTGCAAAATTATAGTAATTTTTACTATAAAATTCTCTCCGTGTGAATATTAATTTAGGGCGATAAGAGCCACGCAAGTATGTTGATAGCGAATAATTTCTCACGTGGGAAGATAATATCGACGATGTATCACACGCGCTGAGATTTTCTGTCTTGAACATATGTGTGGTATTTTTCATTGTAGAATCTTCAAGCACTTGATATTAATTTCTTAATCGCAAAATCTGAAGGAATTTAGAATCTTAAAATCTTAAAAATACTGAACAAATCAATATATCTTTAATCTTGCTTCATTGTTTTCTTCATCGACAGTACAAATTTTTTCATCGACAGTATAAATTTTTTCAGATGCAATTGCATCTTGCGCCAGACTACCAATGTTGCCCAAGTTATCACAAAATGTTAAGGGATGAAATCAGAGAGAGGGAGCGGATTTCATGTAGCTGTTTTTTCCGCAGGGTCGTAGAGAATAATTATGCAATATTTAGTCCAGATCAGTCAAAAAATTTAGAGTTGTATAGAGAATAAACAAGACAAATATTTTATTTTATAGATAGATAAGTGAGATCCATAGTGACAAAATCATAGTGACCATAATTGTCACATGACCTGTGATCATAGTGACCACAAAAATCACTCAATATGTTATCGAAGATCGGTATGTATTGGGTGTTTCGTGTCGTAAAATAGTGTATCTGCGTATATCCTCGCGCTTGACGATACTTCCTCTTCGAAATGGATTCGGATCCCGCAGGACGAGTTACCGAAAGCAAACACGTCTCAGAGTAATGAGACGATCTTTATTCCGAGTACACGATGTCCTTACGGATTCATGATCGCGTGTACTAAATATGAGATTCTGGAAAAAGGGCGCCAGCAGCGTGGGCTCGCGGTACCGGCGACGCATTTACACGCTTACGGCAGTCCTAAAAATCGATAGCTCTTATTCGGAGATGTCGACAGACTTAAAGTACGCGCCGCGAGTCGATAGGAGGGAAATTAGCTCAATAAATCGCGCGAGCTTGATTTTACCGCCGCGTCGAAGTATCGTGTCGATATATTGATTGTCGCGCTGTAGTTAAACGTCCATACGCTTGATGGAATATTTGTTGCAACATCAAAGCGTCACGCGTCAGCAGACACAGCGCTTACCTTCGACGGCGAGCGGCTCATGCGAGGTCTTACGCATTAATACCGCATCACTCGTCGGGCTCGGTCTCGTAAGGAGTGTTTACTCGCACTTTAACCCTACGCCGGATAACGTTGCAAATAACATAATATTCTTCGCGTGACGCGCGCGTTATGTACGGGAGAGAAGCGAGCGAACGCTTCGTGCGTTCGGCACAAAAACACGATGTCGCTCCACGATAACTCTCCGTTAAATTACTAGAAAATTAACACTTCTATAGAACAGCTTGATATTTGCGTACTTTATTATTGGCTGTAGTTGTGCAATCTACCGCATGATGCTATCTACATGGATGTATTTCTAAAAAAGAAAATGAAGGATTGGAAGAAATGAAAGTTTGATACATTTATACACTGTTAAATATTGAAGGGTCAAATTTAAACCAATTTCTTGAGTTAAATAATATTTAGTTATTTTTAACTATCATGTGTGTCAAAATTTACTATTTTAACACAAAACATGTATTTAAAAAAACAACTACATCTAATCAACCCATTTAAAACAATATTAAATCATTTTTTACTAAAACAAAGGTTACATTAACATAATAAAAAATAAACAAAATTTTAGTCAAATTTAATACATTTTTTAAGTTAAATTATTTAATTCCATTACATTAGTTAAATTAACGACATATTTAGTAGGAGCAGTGGCGACTTATAGGAATGGTTAAAAATAACTCAAATTGAGTATAATTTGACACTACGGATTTAACAGTGTACTTGAAAGATACAGATAACATTGAGATTTTTCGCAATTATTTAAGAAGAGCTAAATATGCTCAATTTCCTTCTCTTTAACCCTCTAGAACTAAATATAGGTATAAAATTTAACCAGACATTTACTATTCAAACTATCCAAACGTTACTATTCTTAAAAGCATGTGTTTGATTTCTTTATTTCTAACTTCATTAAATCGTAAAAATATTAATAGATTCATATTCCACGATATTTTTTGCACAAAAAATGTCGAGTTTCGATTATTTTTACGGAAGTATGAGTAAATGAATACCGGCTAAAACGTATCCGTATTTAGGGTTAAAAGCATTCATTGACAAGCTTAACTCTTTAAAAAATGAGTGAAAAAGACGCAACTGATAAAACATGGCGCAACTAATAGAAAATAAAAACTGCTTTTCTATGAATTTTATATATCTATAAAGCTCGGATCTTTTGTGTAGAAAGACATAAAGGTCTATCATTGATGAAATAAAAACCAAAAAATCATAGTTTTATAAGTGGGGTTATTCTTGCATAACTACGGCCAATTGCGATCTAAGGTCTTATTCAGCGAACGCATTATGCATCGCGCGATATCGCTTACGTGGCGTCGCTTGCACGATGCCATTCGCGCGTATCTTCCACGCGAAAGCACACGGCGTTATCATCAGCGCTCGCGAATGATCGTAAACGACGTCTCTGAGATCTCTCAGGCGCCCATTAGATGTCCTGGGAATGTCTTCTCTTGAATATCTCATTATCTGAGATTACCCCTTGCCGAACTTGAGTTCTCTTTCGCTCAAGCATGTCTCCTTCGATATTGCCGCACGTTAAAAACTACGTAATTACATCGAGGGCGTCAGGTACAGGATATTAATAACACGGGACTCTGTCGCGTCGTTAATCTGAGAACGATAGCGAGCGGAGAAATCTCGTAAAAGTCTTCTGAGACACATGTCGACGTGGAGGAGACGTGACTCGTATTCTCGAATGTGCGGTTCAAAGCATGGATGGAGCGCGATCGAATGTTTCATACACGCTGGAAAACATATTGTATTTGCGCCGAGATATCGATTGTGTAGAAATTTCTGTGTTGAATTTTTCACACACTCGCGTGTGACAATTTAACGTATTGTCGTTGTCATTTTGAAAGTTCTACGTTAACTTTATCACTATTCCCTGTTTTTGCGAGTGTTAAAAGAAGTTAAAAGAGAGTTAAAAGAAAAGAATTTGTGTAGGCAACATGTATGTACACCTTTGACATATTTTATATGTGAAGTATAATGTCACATGCAGACCAGTTGCGTCATTTGTTAATATGTTTTCCTTGAATGAACGATGCCACGTAGCAATATCGCTCGATGCATGACGCGTTCCTTGTTGAATGAATCAGAATAGCTAAATTGAGACGTGTGAAATGCGCGAGATTTAACATTAAATTTCTTGCAATGAGCTATTAAAAAACAAAAGGAAACAAAGCAACGTGTGCAGACAATCTCGCGCATCATAGGCACTCTATATTAACACCGTAATCATTAATGTTTGCATCTCGTGCAGCTATATCGAACAACAGTGCGCGAAAGTCGCGTGTAAAGGTCACCGCGGTGCCAAAAGTAAGTTGCTGCAAAGTCAGCAGCACGGACGCATAGCGCGTCGCGATTAAAACATCCGCTCGTGCGCGAACCTTTGGTCGCGGCGATCAGGGGGTCAGGGGTGAATGTCGGGTCGAACGATACGAGAGTGCAAAGAAGACGAGGATAGAGCGAGACGAGGAGGGGTAGAAAGAGAGAGAGAGAGAGAGAGAGAGAGAGAGAGAGAGCGAGAGAGAGAGAGAGAGCGAGAGAGAGAGAGAGATAGAGAGAGAGAGAGAGCTTACCTTCCGCGGTCGTCAGCTCCGGTGGATCCGGTAGACCGAGGGCTGGCCGATCGAGGATAATCCAGGAGACCAAGACGATGCAGAGCAGTCGCAGGTCGATTGGTCTGCACCGACGGAGGTTCCCCGACGATGACGACGACGACGACGGACACGTCGTTGACGGGCACGTCGGCGACGGACAGGCCGTCGCGGCGACGCGCATCTCTACGACTGCTGGCTCCTGGCACGCGGCACACCTGCGGCCTACGCGTCGTACTCGCACGCACGCACCCGCGGCCGTACGTACCTGCACGCCCGCCCACGCAGGTCAACCCTGCCTGGCCTACTTCCGGTATCACATCTCCGGCCGATCGCGGAGGCGCGCGCGATCGATCACGCGCATAGTCGTCGCGGGACCCGACGCCGTAGCTCTCACCCCCGCCGCGGGGAGCCCTCCTCGTGGATCCCCCGCGCGCCTCGGCGATCTAACGGTCCTCGTCGTCGTCGGGAGCGATCACGCCGCGTCAGGTCGTCGGCGCGCGTCGGGCTCTCCTTCGCTTGATCGCACGGAAGAAGGAGAGGTAGGTGCTGGCGGTGCGGAAGGTGCGACGCGACGCGACTACGACGAACTGAAGAATGCGTGGACGGCGGAAGGACGCGTTGCGGACGCACGCCGCTGCAGAGGATGAACGAGGTACACGGGGGTGGTGGTGGTGGTGGTCGCGGTGGTGGTAGTGGTGGATGATGATCTGATCTGATCTACTCGCTCGCTTGCTCGTTCGTTCGCTCGCTCGCTCGCACACGCTTCCTCTCGCGAACTGCTTCCTACGTGCTCCGTGCGATTGTGCCGCGGAGCGCAGCGGAAAGGCACCAAGCAACGACCGACCGGTCTGCCTGCCTGTCTTGCCTGCCTGCCTGCCTGCCTGCCTGCCTGGTTGCCTACCTGACTCGCCCCGCGCGGGTCGTCGCGACGCCAGGGCGCCGACGTCCTGCGCAATACAGCCGAGCCACGTTTCCTCCACCCCCTTGGCCGCCGGTGGCGGTGGCGATGTTGTACCGCGGCGTCCACCCCCCTCGTCGTCCCGCACGCGTTCGTTCGCTCGCTCGCTCGCGCGCGCGCGCGCGCGCGAGGACGACGACGGAGAGCGGTGCCTCTGAGTCATTCCTCGGGCAAGACCCGTCGATGTATCGCCACCGCCACCGCGTAAATATGCACGACCGCCGCGCGCGCGGCACGACCCTCCGCGTGCACGTCGTCGATGTGCCGCGTCGTCGTGTGGTGGTAATGACGCAGCGCGAGGGCCACGATCGTACACCCACCCCGTCTCGTTCTCTCGGAGGGATGCACGATTGCACGTCGAGCAGGCGTGCAGGTCGCGCCGGCATCGGGGGTTGGCGCGACACGACGCGACGCGACACGACGCGGCGCCGAGCGACACGGCGCGGCGCCGGGTGTGCGAGTGTACTTCACCACTTGCGTAGGTATTAATGTTGAATGACGCGTAGGGTTTCCTTCCCTCGGAGAAGAGAAAAAGAGCGCTCTCTGATAACGCTTTCTTGGAACAACTCGAAATCGATTTTTTGCCGGGCGAAGGGAGGCCGCGGTGCTTTTCAAGCCGCCAGTGCGACTGCACTGAAGCGCGCGCAAATTTGGGGAAATTATTTGGGGTTGTGCAACTCGAGATTTAACCCTCCGTGTGCAATGTTGGGTCTGTGGGGAGGTTATGGGAAAATTTTAAAACGGCGCAAAAATCTGCAGATTTTGATATTGTTGCGCTACTCTCTTATAACTAAAACTTTTCTATATCCCTGGAAAAATATGTCCAGAGATATTGATTTTCAATAAAGTTACACTATGTAGCTGTCCCCAGATCTGACAGAAACTCTGAACTGTTCCAAAAAATATGAGCCCCGCAGAGGATTAATTCGGCTGAAGGTATAGTATTGAATTAAAAAATTGGCGCAAATACAGTCATTTTCAAAATTAAATTTGTTCTCAGTGTTGAGCATTAATTGACTGGCTTTTTTCTCTTACTAGAATAATCGATATATCACTAATCAAAATTAAGCAATTGCTAAAAGAAATTTGGTTGAATTAAGCGAATTTCTAGTAAAATTTGTACGAACCAGAAATTCCTGTTAAAGTTATACGATTCCTAATTGACTTGAACTTTGGTAACACCAACTGAAATTTTTTAGTTCGTTGATATTTTATCAGAAATTGACTAATCCAACCAAACTTCTTTTCTACATATATAAAATTCTAAATAATTTTGTTAATTCATGAAATTAATTAATCAAACTTTGATGTGACACTGATTTTAATTAATTTCTTTAATCGACTATATTACTCCTGATTACATACATGACGATTGAATTCATTTTGATTTGTCGATTATTTCAGTCAAGGAAAATTTTTATTGATTAATATCCAACACTGAGGTGTGTCAATATTGACAGCTTTAACTGGCTGATGTTTTGTTTGGCAAGTTTGACCAGAGGAAAACTTTCAGTTGTGATATATTTAATAGACACTGTTCAAGTAGTACAACAATTGCTGAATATACGGTAACGCAGCCATGCAATTTCTTTTGCGAATTATTCACTCGAATTGCAGCTTTTCCGTATAATCCACTCATTCTCTGTAGAGTTTACTTGTGGGCTAAGCTTACGTATTCCGCGCGGAGCAACTTATATATTACGGGAATTACGGGTGACGTGAGTTTTCCTGAAAACTCTGGATCAGGTCGTGCGATCGTAATTTCGCTCCTTGATGCAAATCGATTACGTCGCCACACAATGACGCCGAGTGAAATCGCAATGTTCGTTGTGCACGTTGCTTAGCCTGGAAGTATAGAACGGCCGTCAATTAAGCTCCCCGTGCGATATCGCGGATAATAAAAGAAAATTGCACGGCTAATATAGAGTGAATGCGAGGATAAATCTCTCGCTTAGTGTAACGTTGATCATTGACGCAAATGGAAAAAAATGTAACAACACGCAATCGCGACACTCGGTCTGGACGCGTCCGAGTGCCGCATTCGTCTGGAGGCGTGTGGAGCTTGCCAAAAGACGCAATGTGTTTTCCAGAGTAACGGCATACGCGGCACGGTTAGTCAGCAGTATACGCAATTGCGGAACATTAGGGATAATAATGTGTCGACATGCAATAATTAACGTAAGAAGGGACACGGACAGGCGGAAAGGGGGAGCTTTATCGTAAATTATCATCGTGTGTTTGTCGAAAAATAAGTACACGGGCGCTAATGACGAGATTAAAAGAGCCGCATATACGGCGTGCATAGAGAGTCCCGGCGGTAATTTAACGGGCGGTAATGTGTCGTTTTAAGTGGCCCGTTAGGAATCGTGCACAGATCGATCAATCCTAGGTGATAATTATCGGCGCACTGACTTGTACGTGGTCACACGGGACACGGACGTGCTATAATTATGTACTAAAATAACGCTGCGTTGAGCCGCCTTTGATATTAAATGTGCATGCTGGTGCAACGTCATTCGTATATATGTAGCGCGATTTTTTTTCTTGAAATGCTCTCATACTGTATTATAAGTAATTCTGAACAAGGACACGCGCCCGAACACACACACACACACACACACACACACATATACGTATGTACGCACGCACGCGCACACACATACACATGCGTGTAATTTTTCTATCTCTTGTTTCATTAAGTTATATTTCTTTTTGTTATGCGCGTTATATTATTATGTAACCTCGTGTAATCGGTCGGCTTACCCTTTGTACTTATTAAACGCTTTCGATATTATTTAGCGCCACTTGTCCTTGTTTGCCTCCATGCAGTGAAAAAAAAGATTACGACGATCTGGTAATAATTGTCCAGCCTGTATTATAGGTACTAAAATTTAATACTTATAACACAGGCTGGATAATTATTACCAAATCGTCGTAATCTTTTTTTTAGTGTAGCAATTTTGATTCCCGAGTAGCACGCATCAGCACGGGAGGGAATACACACAACCGTATCGAGGCTTATGGAAGCAGTCGCATGAGTATTGCGTATACCCTCGCGTGCTGATGCGTGCTGCTCGGGAATCATAGTTTCTATCACTGCCTTCATGACGAACGTATGCGCGAACACAGCGCTGATATAATCGAGTGTCATTTCGCTTAATTGTTCAATTTCCTATTTGAGACGTCCATCGTAATGTGAATAAAATATCGCTTTCTTTTTACCCGGCCATTTATAACACCCATCTATTCCTAATAATAGCTTCATTGATTATGCGTTATACTTAACTCCCCTCTGGCCATGTAGCGTATTTCTAACACCTTTGTGTCAAGTGCTTTCCGAAATATTGAATCGCCTGTGTTTCAATTAAATCCATCTCACAGTTATATGGTACGACACTGCTGTGTATGTGCGCGCGTGTGTGCGAGTGGTGTTTCTTTCATAGATAAAGCCAGCTTAAACTCTTAATTTACAGTTAGAGCGCAGAGAGCCTCGCATTTAGAGCCTCCACACACATACACACCGTATTCTTTGATACATTCGCGGTGGAATTAATGCCGTTTGATTTATTATCATCTAGCGTTGCATACAAACAGAAAAATATCATTCTAATGTGTTAAGGAAAGATTATAGGTTAAAATAAATAAACAAAAAATAAATAAAAAAAATAAATAAATATAAATAAAAAAATAAATAAATAAAAAAGTCTTCTACCAATTTGCAAATAACGACGTAGATTTCTGAGTTATTAATTAAAGAAGATTGGCAGATAATATAATACACCAATGTTCTCTAATTAATAACTAAAGAAGGTTATTTGTAAAATGAGATAAGTATTAATGCTATCTAGTTAGTAACTAAAAATCTACAAAGTTATTAGGAAAAAGGTAGAGGACTTTTTTGAATAATTATTGACTATAACGGAGCAAACTCCAATGACCTCTACCTTGATATATATCATGAAGGACACTATCCTGAGTGACAATCCAAAGGTTTTAGCCGTCGCTCATTGTTTGTTAGAAAATTATTAGCAAAAAGAGTTGCATAAAATGAATGTATTTTTTGGACACTGTATGTACAAAAACATCGAGTTTGTAAGCTAAGAAGATGCCTACTACACACACACACACGCACTCACGCACGCACGCACGCACGCACGCACACACACACACACACACACACACACCCCGTCAGCAAGCGCGCTCGCCCGCCCGACAGGGCGGGCTTGCGATGGGTGCGTATGTCTTATTATATATACA